TGTTTTGTTTAGGGCCCTCTAGCAATATGTAGGTAAATTGTTTCGGGCCCTCTAGCAATATGTAGGTAAATTGTTTTGTTTAGGGCCCTCTAGCAATATGTAGGTAAATTGTTTAGGGCCCTCTAGCAATATGTAGGTAAATTGTTTGTTTAGGGCCCACTAGCAATATGTAGGTAAACTGTTTTGTTTAGGGCTCTCTAGCAATGTGTAGGTAAACTGTTTTGTTTAGGGCCCTCTAGCAATATGTAGGTAGACTGTTTTGTTTAGGGCCATCTAGCAATATGTAGATAAACTGTTTTGTTTAGGGCCATCTAGCAATATGTAGGTAAACTGTTTTGTTTAGGGCTCTCTAGCAATATGTAGGTAAACTGTTTTGTTTAGGGCCATCTAGCAATATGTAGGTAGACTGTTTTGTTTAGGGCTCTCTAGCAATATGTAGGTAAACTGTTTTGTTTAGGGCCATCTAGCAATAAGTAGGTAAACTGTTTTGTTTAGGGCCCTCTAGCAATATGTATGTATGTATGTATGTATATTGTTTAGGGCCCTCTAGCAATATGTATGTATATTGTTTAGGGCCCCCTAGCAATACCATTGTGCACTCTAAGTACTCTCTATTCACTGTATATACTCTTTTCTGATACTTTTCATAGGATCGTCAAGTTCAGTAAAAAGTGTACCACCAAATAATCAACAGGGCAAGAGGGAAGGTAAGGTTCAACTTATTGGTCACAGAGTTATTAATTAGTGTTTGTAACAATCTCAATTCTTCAGTAAGCAGTAGTATTGGCTAAGTTGTGGATAATATTGGATGGCTCCCAAAGAATTCTGTTGTCAACCGGTCACTGGTAGCATAGTGGTTGTCGCATCAGACTCATGATCGGTAGACCCATGTTCAAATCCTACCTTAGGCTGAACATCAAAGGGTCGACCCCTACCCTGGGTGAGTGTGCCACAGACTCAATGGGAAGGCCAATTCCACTGGCCGAGATTCATTCACTAACGAATACGACTTTGGGAGAACCTTGGCCAATACTACTGTGGCAAAAATGCACTATGTGTCAGCACTAGCACTTGCAATTTACACATACAAAAAAAAAGTAAGGAGAGACAACAGTGACACTCAATGTCTACAACTGTCACCTGGTACAAAAACATTTAAAAAAAGAAAGAATTCTGTTGTCTTTTAAACGTAGTTTTGAAAACAAATAATGAATCTTTGCCTCATGTATTAAATCTGTCGTTGAAAGAGTTTGTGTGATCAGTGCCGATTTTTTTTTTACAAACCATGTCCATGTCACAAGCATTTAAAACCCATTTCCTCATTCAACTACTAGGATACAAAAGTGTGGCAACTCGACTCAAAATGTTAACTAACGTTTTTACTAGTTTCTTGTCCTGTTGATGAAGATCAGTAGAACTCACTGTTGAAATGTTGATAAAAAAACAACAAATAAAAATAGACGTACCTTTTTATGAAATCTGAAAGACATTGTCACATACTGCTTGCATGATTCAAAAATATGTTGAAATTTAAGGAAATTTTGTAGAATGTGTAAAAGTTTATGCTGAATTATTTGCAAGAAAAATATTTTGCGTCAAATGTTCAAAGCATGGTGGTCGTCGTGCAGCGCATGTAAATAAACAATGTATGTTACATGCATTGTATACGTCGCTATGAGTCCCATATCGAACAGGATGCGGCACGACGACTGCCGCCCTTTAATGCATTGTCCTGTATATATCACGATATCTGAAAGTGTGTTTTGAAAAACACAAACTGCATTAATTTTTTACTGTCTAATATTATGTTATTTTAATGTTCTGTTTTTTTACTTTCAGCCAATAATGAATTTGTAATTTCATTATGGTATAATAAAAACTTTGTTATTATGTTTTTGTTTAGGTTCTATAAGTTCATCAAAGAGTGCCCCACCATCTGCATCTGGTGCTAATGGCAGTGACAATGTGTTTGTATCACCAAATGAACAAAGACTAAAATCACCTCCGTCCAATGAACTTAAAGGTAAGCGTACATTACAGGGTTCTCCCTCAGGTTGGCGTAGGTGGCACCCTGGACTGCTGCGACCCCCACCCATGCCTGACAGAATAGTTAAGTCGGCACCAATCAAATTTTAGAAACTGTTGATCTGTCATAATTTAACCATTCACAAAGCGTTGTGATTGTTGAGACAATAACTTTATCACATCTGATCGTCTTCCTGTCCACTGTTTACCAATTCGTTGTAATGTGCATGTGTGATGTTGCTGACAGCACATTTCAAATTGCCGTGGACACCAGTTTACCAGTTTACTTTTCAACTTAATCAAAGTTCACTATATTCGTCGTTATCATGAACTCTATCAAACAGGCTGTTGTCAAACTGTTGAAGTCGAACGGAAACGCAGAATTGAGTCACTGTATCGGGGTGAAGATGCGTTGATTATTCTACCGTCTGGCTTTTGTAAATCACTGATTTATTCGCTGGTGCCAAAAGCATTCAACATTTGTTCTGAAAGTTCTGGCTCGATAATATTGGTTATTTCCCCTTTAATATCGCTGATGGTAGACCAAGTTCGGCGATGTGAAAATTACGGGATTTCTGCTGCTTTGATAAGATCGACACAGCACGATCACGCCACGTGTTCTCAGGTCATTCATTCTCCAGACTCTCCATCTTATTGCGTAGTCTGACTGTACTGCGCAAGTTGTCAAAACATTTTTTACACAAACTTCCACTGTGGTTTTCTCTTTCCAAGGAAACGGAAAAATTGCTATTCAAAGCAGAGATCGTGTCTGACGATGTTATGATAAGTGTTGAAAAATATTGGTCTTCGGTTTTTCGATTGACTTGACACATCGGTACTGTAAATTGCACACGATGTAGAGTCCAGAGTAAGTTCCAAAGTTGTCTTCACCGGAGTAATTTTTCGGTTGGTAAACTCGCACAATGGAGTAGAGAACTCTATGTCTTCATCCTGAAATATTCACTACTGAAGTGATATTCATCCACGCCAACTTGTCAGGTAACATAGAGTGAAGGTCCCCAACTTATAAATTTTAAATAAACAATAGATCAAATTTAGCACAACAATAAACACAATAGAAGTCATTAATTCAATTTATTATGCAAATTATGCAATACTGTATGTAATTTTTCTGGGGAGAACTCATTATAACTATAATTTGAAGAATACAGCTAAGGCAGATAGGCGTTCAAATCAACATATTAGAAATCTTTTTTTTGTAATATTAATTTTAAAAGTGAGAATTATCCAAAGAGGCAGCAAAATGCTGATGTATTTGTTCAGTGTTGAGATTTCATTTTCACTCTTCGCTTTTTTGCGTGGCATTCATACATTGGACAATGTAGATGTTCCACTTCTACTAAAATCATGTATCAAATTTGATGAATAAAAAATATAATATATACATTGCAAGCTGCAACAATGAAGTTTGCTGTATTTTTAATTTAATGTGTAATGAAAACAAATCCCATAAAGGTGACATAGCGAAAACTCATGTCATCAGTTCTAATACGTACAAAATATTTCTGAGAAAAACAAAAACAAACACACCACAACCATTTTTTTTTTTAGTGTAATAGCAAAACATAGAATTAACATGGATGCTAGTAACTGAACACACCAACTATGACTCAATTCTATATTAAGTGATAGTGTTTATTTTTTTACAGGTCAAAGACAGATTCCTAACAGTGCTAGTACTGCCAGTGTTGATAGTCTTACCAGTGACAGACAACCTGAAAGTATCCTGAACCCAATTCCAATATTAAGGTGAGTCTAGTAATTAATGGACGCAAGTGATACATAAACATGTACATGTATGTACAAGATTCTGACTATCACTACATGTGTAACTTAACATCTAAGCTATAGCTATAATTCATTAAAAATTTCAACTTATTTTTTGTAGTATTACCTATATTACTATAATATAGATATATTTATCTGGTGTTTTTACATGAAAACAAGCTAAGATAGTTTTAAAGCTAAATATTAAGTCATGCTTGGACCGTACTGTAAGTGTGGCTGTTACATTTACCGTATGTGTAAATATTCCATTCAAAGTCCCTTCAAGTCGTCAATATCATTTTGATCTGTAGTCCTCTATCAATGAAAAAATTT